GTGCTATCCAAAACTGCATCCCAGAATGTGTCCAACACTCCAAGGCAACAATCCCCCCAGTTCAAATGGTGATCTGCTCTCAGTGCCTTAGGGCTTTCAAACCTGGACAACAGGGCTGATGGCTCTGCCAGGGCAGCCCTGGAAGGAGCTGGGACATGGTGTCCCTTTCTCAGGAGCCCATAATTTGGGCTGTCCCTTGCCACTGTTCCTCTGTGCTCTCTCTGTCTGGAGATGGATTCCTGGTGAGCTGATGGCTCTGCAGGGATGGAACAGCCAGGGCAGAGCATTAAGTGCCCTGTTACTCCTCCTACCACTGTTAGTGCCCCATCTGGGTGTGCAGATGAGCTTCTTATCACTTAATCTGACACAAGCTGACAAGAGCATAAATCTCCCGAGGCCTCCACGTTTGGAGGTTACAAACATATGCCCTGGTATTGTTTAAAATGTGGGAGTAGATCCTTGGGATTTCTGTCCAGAAATGCATCATGATTAGGGGAAGAGCTTTGCTCTTGTCCTGGCAATGCATTTGTTCAGTGCCAGTATCACAGCCTTGTTCCTAAAGCTGTAGATGAATGGATTTAGGAATGGGTACAGGACTGTGTTCAGCAAAGCTACAATTCTGTTGGTCTTTAAGGAAGCATCTGTTGAAGGACACGTACAGAGAGCAATGCAGCTCCCATATGCAATGGATAAGGTGATGAGATGGGAAGAACAGGTAGTAAAAGCTTTTTTCTTCCTCCCAGAGGCTGCTGAAAGCTGCAGAATACAGAAAAGGATGCAGGTGTAAAATGCCAGGTTTAAACTTAAGGAACCCAACACAACACATGATATGAAAGCAGTGTCTATTTTCCAAAACAGGCTGGTGTCAGAGCAGGACAGCTGGAACAAGGGGGAGTTGTCACAAAGAAAATGGGGGATCCTGTTGGAGCCACAGAAGGACAGCTGAGACAGGAAGAGCGGGTGGTAGCTCTGGAGGGTGAAGCCGATGACCCAGGCAGCAACAACCAGGCCGAGGCAGAGCTGAGGCTGCATGGTGGCAGCGTAGTGCAGGGGTTGGCAGATGGCAACACAGCGGTCAAAGGACATGACAAGGACTAGGATACACTCTGTGCCACCCAGGGCAAAATAGAAATAGGACTGGGCAAAGCAGCTGCTCAGGGAGATGGTTTTCTGATCAGAACTCAGGATGGCAAACAATTTGATGCTTGTGGAAGATGTAAACCAGATTTCCAGGAAGGCCAGGTTGCTAATGAAAAAGAACATGGGGGTTTGCAGGTGGTGATCCACACGCACGAGGAAAATGATGATTGCATTCCCTGTCACTGTTGTCAGGTACATGAGCAGAAGGATCAGAGAGAGAAACAGCTGCAGCCTTTGATCAAGCTCTGGGAAACCCTCTAGGATGAACTCAGATACTGCTGTTTCATTTGCTGCTCCCATGCTGAATTTCAGTTCCTCCTGCTGAGACAGCAACGTGGCAAAACCCAGGGTGATAATTTCACAGTCTGGACAAAATGTTCCATCCTTCCCTCTCTGCTCCTTTCTTTTCCTGCAATCTTCCTGTATAGCCCAGAGATTGTCCTTCAGGCAATTCTCACCCCCTGATTTTTTGTTTCACATTTCACTTGGAGTCCTCAGGGATTTTGTTGTCGTTTCTTTTTTTTCTTGTTTTTCTTTCACCAGAACAGAGGATTCTAAAGAGGCTGTTGGCCATTTCGCCCCATTCCTGGGAAATTCCAAGCTCACTCACACCTATTGCAAACATCTGTCACACCTCTGTGCCAAAACCCTCTCTTCTAATGCACAAATGCTAACCCATGAAATCACATCCACTCTGTCTGTTTAAAGCTCTCATTTCTACTTTTCAGTGTTTGCTTTTTGCACTGGGAATCCCCGAGAATCTGTTGATTCCAAGATAATCAATATCAGGTACTTTGCAATCCCCTGCTTTTTGCCATAGTTTCTTTCTCTCTGGTTCTTCAGGAAAAGAGAGGGGAGAGCAGAATAGTTGACCAAGTATAACTTGCCTTTTTGGTCCTCTAAATAACGAGCAGCATTTGTTATGGATCCACACAGTGTGTCACAGAGTCCCACCTCACAGCTGTCTGCACAAAAAGGCATTTGTTTCCATACAGTTGCTCGTTGCTCTTGCTCTCAAATGTTCCAACCAAAAGGCAGAGCAAGAGAACAGTGCCAGGAAGAGATTTGTAAGCTTTCTTTTGCCTGCCAATTTTAGACTGGGAGGAACCAGCCTGCAGATCCTTCTCTTGTCTCCACTGACTAGAGGGAGCCTGGAGAAAACAAGGTCCCAGGAGCACCTGCAGGGGAGTAGATGAAACTCACTGTTCGAGTCTCAAATCTCCAATTAATTAAAAGTTGTTATGCTTTTAAATCAAAATTCCCAGTTCACAGAAAGAAGCAGGAGGAAAAAATGTGCATTAAAGTTGGGCCTTTTTCCTTTCATCTTTCGATTTTGGTTTTAAGCAGAGAGGAGCAGAGTCTGTGACTCCAAAAATAGGGTGATTGGAAAGGCCAGGGGGAGAAGAGGTTCTGAGATCAACTGGCATCCAGCCTTCCACCCATCCCCAGCATGGCACAAAGTACCATGTCCACTCTTTCCTTAAACACCTCCAGGGACGGTGACTCCACCACCTGCCTGGGCAGCCCATGTCAATACCTAATCCCTGTTTCTGTCCAAAAATTCCTGCTCCTGCCCCTGACAAACATCCCCTGACAGGCAGGTCCTCATGTCCTCTTGTCCTATTGTCTGTTGCCGCACAGAAGAGGCTGAGCCCCACTTGGTTCCACGCTCCTGTCAGGAAGCTGTGGACAGTGAGCAGGTCAGCCCTGAGCCTCCTCTTCTCCAGGCTGGAGAACCCCAGCTCCCTCAGCTGCTCCTCACAGGACATGCACTTGCCCAGCTCCACTGCCCTGCTCTCGACCCACTCCAGCCCCTCAGTGTTCTTCCTAAATTGAGGGGCCCAGAACTGGACTCAGCACTCCAGGTGGGGCCTCACCAGTGCCCAGTCCAGTGGAAGAATCCCTGCCCTGCTCCTGCTGGCCCCACTATTTCTGATCCAGGCCAGGATGCCCTTGGCCTTCTTGCCCACCTGGGCACCCACTGGCTCAGGTTCAGCCTCTGTTGACCAGCACCCTCAGGGCCTCTCCCACCCTTTGCAGCTACTCTGCCCCAGCCTGGAGCTGCAGGGGGGTTATTGTGGCCAGAGGCACCAAAGGCACCAAAGGCACTCTTGAACCTCATGCCCATGGTCTCGGTCCAGAGATCCAGCCTGTCCAGATCCCTCTGCACAGCCTTCCTACCCTCCAGCACATCAACACTGCAACCCCACTTGGGGTGATCTCCCAGTCTGCTCATGGAAGACTCAATCCCCCTTGTTCCAGAAAG